AATGGTTTATGCTCTTATTTTAGAGGTCAGTTAAATGTTCTGAGAGAGGATGTCCTTTCTTTATGGTTGTATTTCTTGCCTTAACATTGACTGGCTCTATCTCCTGGCACACACCCAACAATACCCCTTCCTTAAGTGTCTGCTCACATTTAGAGAAATTAGCCACTGTTATAGGTACTACTTTATGACCTGCCACAAGTGACCTTCCAATCTTCACGTCTGCTGTCCTGAATGGGTCTTCCACTGCTTCCACAAGCATCGGGCTTCCTTGGGGATGTTCTTTTATTCTACCCCAAATTATCTTTTCTGACATAGGGGGTATTGTAGTTGACGTAAGTGCTGTGACATGCAAATCAACAGAAGCAGCAACACTGGCCGGAATTTGGCCTTTGTTGTTCCCAAACGTCATTTTATCAAAATTAACTACACACTTCCTCGGTAGTAAGTAGTCCAACCCTAGTATGCATTGGTCTTCAATGTCAGCTAAGCATACTTTGTATCTGTCCTTCATACCCATGAGCCCACAACCTTGCATAATGTTCTGTCACACCACAGAGCTTCTGTATGGCTTCTGGTACTCCTTTGTGATCTAGCAGCTTGATACTCACAAAGGCTTTGCTGAGATGCAGAATCTATGACAAAGTTGCACTTTTGGCCATCCAGTTTTCCTGTTATGTAGACACTATGTGTGCTTGCCATTTTACACTTAGCTGTTGGGACTTTCACAATGGGGGTTGGTGGGTGTCCCCCAACACCAATCACTACTGGTTTCCCGAAGCTGACATATTGGTAGTATTCTTCTTAAACTGTCTCTTCATATGTCCATACTCTCCACAATTCCAACAACCTTCTGGGTGGCAGCGTTTCCTGCTATGGCATACTCCCTGTGTTGAAGTTGCCGACATTGAGCTCTCTTATGCCCCGGTTTGTTACAGTGCCAGCAAAGTTCCTCAAACTTCTCTGAAAGATGCCCTTTTCTGGTCTTTAATCCTGATGACTGTACCAACCTTGGTACCTCTGTGCTGGACTTAATGTAGGATTCGAATTCAAGAGCTCTGGCCATTGCATCTTGTATAGTAGAGGGGTGTGCTTGCTTTACTTGTATCTTTAATTTTTGGACTGTCCAAGGCATCTACAAACTGATCCCTCAGGAACAGCCTGAGGACATCGGGTGGTGCAGTTAGGTAGGCCTTGTGTGCCATACTTTCCAAATCCTGTGCCAGCTCTTGCAGGCTCTCCCCTTTAGCATGGACTCTAGTCCTAAGCCTAGCCTTGTAGACTTCGGACTGATTTTGAGTTCCATACCTGAGTTCTAGAGCAGCTACCAGTGCTCTATAGTTGTGCCTGTCGTCTGCTGACAACTGTCCAAGTATTTTCAATGGTTGTCCTTTCAGGATCGTTGCCAGGTACACTGCTTTCTGCTCCTCTGTCCATCCATTAATTTCTGCCAGCAGCTCAAATTGTGCTCTATATGCTTCCTATGGTGCTTTCCCATCGAATTCCTGTGGCTTCCTTCGTACTAGATCACTCCTATTGCTGACACTCGTGTCTGGAATGTGACTTCTGTCAGGACTGAAGATGTCTGCATTAGGGTTTAGCTGCGGAGTCTGGAAGGGGCTTCCTGTTGTCTGACGATGATTAGGTCCATGGTTAATATATCCTCCCTGTGTAAAGGACAGTAAATCGTCCTTTAATGTATTTAATTCACTTTGAAATTTACTAATCTTTTCCATTTGTGTATGCTGGCTTTCTCTCAACTGTTGGAGACAGTCCACGATAGCATATTATACACTTCACTCGTGCTAAAAATTTTTAAAATGTGCTCTTTCTTCTTTAAATGACTCAGTGTCTATATCACTCATATATAAATTATGTTACGTCTCCGTTTGTTAATTAACTTTCCGTAACTTCGTTCCGACGAAACTTTAGCGAAACAAGTCCTTACTTAATAAAACGGGTTTATTCTTTCCGAATATAACTTTACGATGCACTTAAATTCAACAATCGCGCTAAAATAAACGCTATAACAACGAACGTGCTCAATAATACTCTCTGATTGCAGATCAATTACTCACTGTCTACACACACATTATTGTCCCGTCACGTTGTCACCCTCTTTTATATACCAGCCTACCCTATATCTAGTAAATGCTAGAGTATTCGCAAAGGTACAGGATAGTTCTAGAAAGCAGGTGGCGTTGCAATAGTCACGTGATCTCGCTGACGCAACAATTAGATAATTTTTTCAAACATTCTTGTTTTTCCTTTTTTCTATTATAAACTTAAATAATATCTTAAACTGTTTAATAACATCACTGTAACTTTCAATTCTTTTGTCAATTTCGGTAACTACTCGATCACAAGCAAAGAAAATACTTTAAATGAATCGACCTCTTTCTGTTAACAATAGTATTTTCATCAAAGAATACTTTCTATTTTTGTTTTCTTGTCTGCTTCTTTCTATGTAAAGTGTTTTGTCACCAGTAGTGGATAAATTACTTGCTTCATTTTCAGTTAATTCAAAATTATTTCTTAATCCAAGGATAAATTATTTCAATGATTTTAATGGTGTTTCTCTCTTCAAAATAAACAGCTTTGAGTCTTGTAACGATAGATTTACCGTATTTACTCGTTGTAATATTTTGGACCAACAAGAGATCATCAGTTTTGTTTCATAATCATTAAACTTTTTAATTAATTAAAGATATAGCTTCTATTCTAGTGTTAATTTTTTTCGCATGAGTTTCACTAATTTTCACAAGAGCTTCCTTGATATTGCAAAAACTGTTTTTAAGAGCATGCAAAAACAACGTCTACTTTTGTTGACCATCTGGTCTCGCATACTTTTTTAATGTTGTATTCTTCCTTAGGCATTCCGTTAGAATTAATATTTCCGTTTTGAGTTTACTTATTGATTAAGTATATTTTATTAAAAGTTACAATTTTTAAAGTAAGTTAGATTTGTATTTAGAACAGGTACAACGTTTCGATTACTAGTGCGATCGTTCTCAAGAGCACACGTTTTAATGGTAAAGAACAATTTAGTATTTAAATCAGCATTCAACAATCTAACAGTGTACTTAAATTATAGAATTGATAGTAGTTACTTATGCATGTACATATCAATCCGCGTGAATTGACAGATTATTTATGTATGGGGACAGAATCTCATTTTTTCTGTGCTATAAATTTAATTTAATCTTTTTTATGATGTTACTAGCTTTCTGACATTATGCATGCACAATTAAACTTGTAGCGATAGCAACAAAATAACAATATTGTTGATTTAAAGGCTAAAATTTTGTAAGTAAAAACGAACTGAAGAACTTTTGATTAATTGGGTATATTTCATCATTAATATATTCATTCCATATTTATATCCTTAGGAATATGAATACGGCCCCTAAATATACCTAGAATTCATTTGTGCTGTACAGTTTGAAGATAGTCATGGCAGAGGTAAGGCGCGTGATCTATAATTTTGTGATCTGTTGAACGAGTACAACTACTTATAATAATCATCTTGTTAAATGTATCGTTATATATTATGTATTTTTTATATTCCTTCATATTAATGTGTGTGTATTCCCAGTGTTTTAGAAACAACTGATTCCTTAGCTATTATTTAATAAAAATAACTTCCAATCAGAGCTAATTAAATATAGTTTTCTGTCGTTCCACTTATGAAGAATAAAATGTAATATTGCAGTTATTTCGGCTTTTAAGTTTTAGTTTTACTGGTATTTTGTCCTAATAAAGTGATATCGCCGGAAGTTGGAACTTTTATATTGTTTTAAGAAGCTGGTTCCTGTGTTCCTTTCCAAATAGATTAAAATTTCTTTAAGTTATAACATTTTTAGCATTTACATATTTATATATTTCGTATTTTATAAGTTTGCTTGAAAGTTGAATTGAAATTTATTGTTTAAATGTTTCACCAACTCTATGTAACAGTGCAAGAATGTATGGAATCTTCCTTTTCTTAGTGTTAGTAAATAGATAATAATAGTAATTAGTCAAATAATCCACCAAGTTAGATCTGTGTAACTATTGTACAATTTAACAAAACAATTGGAATCTACCTTATACATTTTTGCAGATGCTTTGTGAGGTTGTGTGTAAACAGTAACACTATTTTGTTTGCAGATTGTATTCATAATTATAATAGATATATTCTTATCTGTAGTTTTACAAGTAAGATTTTTTAAACAATTTCTTACTATACAAATATACCACAGTCATTTATTATTTTTATTATTTGCTCCATTTCTTAGATGTATTATACTGTGTTGATTAGGACCTAAACATACAGTATTTATACTGAAATTGCTGGTCTCATATATGCAGCATATATAACCTGCATTGTATAACACATTGCATATGGACAACAAAGGGCTATTTATTCCTTCACAGTTGTTCTTAAACAACTGCCATTGGAGAAAGTAAAAATTTAAACCCACCCATTACTTTTAAACTTTGTAAAGTGCTGTCTCTACTATAGCTAATGGCAACTCATTCCATAAGTAAATCACCCTGTTAGTGTTAGAAACATAAAATTATCTTAACTGCAGCCTAGCCTTGTTTCTGAATTATAAGCTTGTACCCTCTTGTTCAGTTATGTTCATAATAAAGCAGAATGTAATCTCTGCTATTTTCTCCAAGCATGTACCCTTGGCTGTGGTTTTGCTAGATAGTATTTTAATAATCTCCCAGATAATCTTGTAAACTTGTATAAGATTACATCTTACCCTGTTTTTTTTTCTAGAAAAAATAAATTGAGAAATTTTACACAGTTCCTGTATGATTACTTCTATCTCTAGAATCACCCAAGTAGCCCTCATTTGAACCCTTAGTAATTCAATATCTTTTTTTAGATAAGGAGACCAAAACTTTATACAGAATTCTAAGTAAGGCCTAGCTAGTGATTGTATACAGAGAAATTGGCCTCTTTTGATGTGATTCAGTAGTCTATAAATACTCTGTATTATTTTATTGGCTTTAAGTTTAATAGTACTAGCAACAGAGCACTGCTTTGATGGCTTGAGTGACTTATCTGCCAATTTGCCAAAATACTTTTCTTTAGTTATGTAAATGAGTTGGTTCCCATAATCTTAAATGGGTGAATCAAATTATGATTATCTTGCATTTACTATACTTAAAGGCCATTTGCAGAAATATTTGTCAACTTATCAATTGACCCAAGTCATTCTGTAATATGCGAACATTCTTAATTCAGCTAGAAATACCCAAGAGTTTAGTGTCACCAGAAAACTTCAATAAGTTACTAATTATGACTCTATCAATATCATAAATGTAAATAAGAAAGAGTAAAGGCCACTGGCCCCTGATATAGTACACTAGTATTAGTAACAAGGGTCCAGTTTGACTAAACTCCATTGATTATAACATTTTGCTTCCTCCCATCTAATGGCCTTATAATCCAGTTTACTTGTCTTTCCCCAATCCCTACAAGTTTTATTTTCATAAGCTAATATTTTATGTGGTACTTTATCTAAAAGTTTGTGAAAATGTAAGTAAACCATATCACATCATTTGTATGAACATCTGTAATCATGTGCAGTAGATTAAATCAAGTGTAAAATTATCTATTTTATTTAAATACTTTTCAAGTGAGAAATAATGTTAAATTGATAGCATAAATTTATTTTAATACCAATTATTTATTATTTACTTGAATTAACTTTACACTCCTGCAGAAGAACTGGTAAACAGCAGACTAGTCTTATTCCCACGACATCAACAGGAGCAAACTACATTAATAAGAACTTAGGGGTAAAAACAAAGAAGAATACTTCAGTAACATGTTAATTGCGCTATATCGGCTGTTGATTATAAGTTTTTATGCCTTCAATTCTAACAAGCTGCAGTTCATCCCTTGTATGAAGAACCACCCAACCACTCCTGTCTTGAAAAGTTTCTCACTATTAAATGGCCAGGTGGTTAGGGTGCTCGACTTGCAATCTGCGGGTCGCGGGTTCGAATCCTCGTCCCACCAAACATGCTCGCCCTTTCAGCCGTGGGGGGCATTATAATGTGACGGTCAATCCCACTATTCGTTGGTAAAAGAGTAGCCCAAGAGTTGGCGGTGGGTGGTGATGACTAGCTGTCTTACACTGCTAAATTAGGGACGGCTAGCGCAGATGGCTCTCGTGTAGCTTTGTGCGAAATTCAAAAACAAAACAAAAACACTATTAAATATTAAATAACCTTGAATTTCAGAATAATTCCTGTTATTGATATTCCACAAATCTAACAAAGTTTAATTAATTTCCATTATACCAAAGTCTTTCAATTCAGCTAGAGCCCTGAACTCCTATATTTTGTTTTTTATACTCCTAATGTTAATGTCTTTTCTTGATCCTACTGTTTTATTGTTCTCTGAATCTTTTTTTTTTTTCTTACCTCTTCATTACTGTAGCTTTGTTAGCAGTTTTTCCACAGTTTTCAAACTTTGTCACTAGTAAGCTAGTTTAGTTTTATCTTTAACCCTTTCCACATGGGTCAAAGGCCATGTCATCGCATTTGTTGACTCGCATTCAAAATTTTATTGAACTAATATTTTTAATTTATGTCAATAAGTTTGGTATCAAACTGTACATTATAATTAAAATTTTAGTATAATACATTATTTAATTTTTTAATTTAAATGTAAATATTAAGAAAACACACCTAAACATCAATTTTTGTCATGTGGTATGTTGAATGCAGCACTGTATCAAATTAGATGCTTGTGATGTCAAAGTACAAAGTCTGTAATTTTTTAGATCTAAATACAGCTTAATTACTAAACTTGATAAATTATAGTGGAATTCTATGGTATCGATATAGTATTTGATTTTTGGTTATTTCAAATGTTTATATAAAACCTAAAAAAATTATTTCATTTGACAACCTCCACGTGTGAAATTTTATATGGGCTTAGCAACCTATGACAAGTAGCAAACAAGTTCAAAGGTCATAACTAGAAGAGATAATTGGTTGCTTGACTTTATTTACTGTTCTATATTTTTAAGGAAAACAAATTTAAGAACTTATTTGTAAATAGTAATAATGTATATACATATATAATAATTGAAATGTGACTATTTTACAAAATACTTGTCCACTAAAACACAGACAAGACATGTTACTTTGTAAATACTAATGGTCAGTTTTATATTATTGGATAAGGTAACACATACGTCGCATCATTGTGACTTCTGTATTGTTAGCCGGGAACGGCTGAAAGGTCAATATAATAAACATGTATAAATTTATGAGATTTAAGCTATATAGTCTAAACATTTGTTTTTATGTTATAATTTGTAATCATTCTAGAATGAAAAAGGCATAACTTATATTTATTTCCTAATTTTTTATGGTGGTTAAGAGATTGGTCAAATCGGCCGAATCCATCCAGAGATTCATTAGTGAAAATATAAAGTTTTTCTTAGGAAACATTTGATAACTATCTGGATGTTGTTAAGATTTCACATGTGAAATTTAAAATTTTCTGATGCATAAAAGTATTTTTAATCTTAAAATGAAAATTACTTTGCATGTTGGATGGGCAACATGAGAAAAGAAAAAAGGTATGAGAAAAAAATTGCTTAACAAACCTTAAGACTTAATTAAAAACTCTGATATTTTGGCATATGAAAGCCTACTAATTTAAAAGTTGTAACATAAAAACTATAACAAGCACAAAATGGTTCCGAGGTCGGTCCCAGGTATTGAGACCGTGCTGAAAAAGTTAATGTATATGTTTAAGAGCTACCCCAAACCATCTACTATCTAACATGCTTTATTGGAACACATCTGTAGCATATAATTCACCCTTATCATGAAAACCATCCCACAGGTCCAACCATTCACCGTTGCTATAAGTATATCCCTAATAATCTTTCATTAAAGTCTTATTCTGCTAGGTAATCCAGTGCCACATGTAGTGTAAGGGAACACTTTCTAAGGGACTACACATTTATTTTTGTCCCTAAATGTTTGAAGGAGTTCTCTATACTTACTAAGCTCTTCTACCAACTAACATTTTCCAACATCATTTGCTCAAAGTGCATTACAGACAAGATTATTCCTTGGTACTAGGTACTAGACTGTCAATATGTTCTATAATATCTGGTACTCTAGTACCTGGCAAGCAAATCCTAGTCTTAGTCTTTCTGTGCTTCTTTATCTGCATATATATATATATGTATTTATTGAGAGAGTTGTCCACTATTTAAATCTCTTGATGGTTATCACAATGCACTTGTAGGTTCTCAAGCTAACTCTTATTAACATAATGAAGCCATTATGCAAAAGTACTTCAGGGGAATTAATGAGGCTAACTGCAACATACCTCCAGAATAATCATTCTCAAGATCTATAAAACTAGAAGAAATAATATAATGGAGTGAGGGATAGTTACTGATCAGGAGAATTGTGTAAAATTATTTTAAATGAGCAGGAAACACTCACTATTTTTAAATGATGGTTAAACCACTGGTGAGCTTAGAATATTTGTAGTACCACTACAACTCACTTTAAATATATTTCATTTAAGTATTCACTATTATTATTACTGTGCATATAATTTGCTGAGATTGTGAAAGAGCAATCCATATATCAGGGGTAAGAAATTAATTTTTTCACCTCCATCTGGTGGACAAGCTTATTTTGCACATTACTCATTAGAAAGAAGTTCTATTTGTCCAAAATACAAATGAACAAAGTGTGACAATAAATATAGATTACTAATATTTAAAGTAATGAATGTTTGTTGTGAAATGATGAAATGCGATTTTATTGGCGAGTACCTCACAATGAAGGGTCTAATGTGTATTCCACCAAATTAAATGTTTCATATTTATTGTTTAATAATTGTTTATTATTTGAAATAATGCTCAGGACTTTTATTTTATTATTCACTATACATAAATATCTAGCATTCTCTAGATATGGAGGTAACCAGTGGTAACAATATAGAAAACTCCTATGTTAAAGAAATGCTTGTAAATTTTGTTACTGCATCGGTTATTTTCACATGAGAATCAACTAATTCATCAGCAGTATTTTATACAATGTCTAAGCTACATTGTATCTGTATAGTATCTATGCAAACCTGAGTGTATGGACAACTACAGAATTGTTATTTTAAAAAAAAAACATGTTTCTTCAAGGATACAGCCATTGATGTGCTCTGTTTGCAAACACAGCATGATGATTTGGCAAACAATTGTCCTGCAAGCAAGTGTTTCTAGGTCAATCGAGGCACCACCAACCCACAGGTGCAATCAAGTGCTATAGTTGACTCTTGTCAGGTAGACTAGTGGATGTTTAAAGCACTAGTATGAAAACAGTTACTTATCTTGGATGATTAGATGAGTGGTAATTTCGAGCCCTAACACATTCTTGATATGGAGTCAATAGAATTGTTTAATGATAAATCTCAAGTATTTCTTCAGGCTAAAGTTAGATCTGATTATTAAATGTATTGCATATGATTTGTTTAAATGATACACAAAGTAGGACTTTTTATAATTCTAGCAATGCCTTAGTATTGTAGAAAGCAGTAAAATGGAAATTATCTACCTGATGGTACAAATTATAAAGAGGGAATGAGGTTAGATGTTATTCTATTTCCTGAAGGATGTAATGATGCAAAAGGTAAAGGAAGCACTTTAAGACTTGTGCATTTTACAAGAATGTCTTTAAACAATTACTGGCAGAGTACATGTAATCAGAAATATTGAGGTAAAGTTGTGAATGATATGCAATATTTTAAAAGATTATTGTTATTTGTAAGAATTCATTTGATTAAAATTATGCTCATTCATGCCCATCACAGAAATATGACCTGTTTATTCTCTAGTGTGTGTGTATATATTATACTGCAGTGATTTATAGTTGTTATTGGATTTTCTTATTTTCTAAAGATTATACTTTGTGTATCATTAGTAATATTTTTTCTAAATGTTATTTTGTTAACACTTGTGTTAGAATCTGTATAGTCTCAAGTTTCCATAGTAAACTCACTAACAGTTCAATTTATGGTAACAAGTTGCAGATGTTTTTGGTGGATATAATTAAAGCATTAACACTAATTTTTAATAGATGGCTTAACATGTAAGAATTCATGAATTGCTACGAAAATATCTATAAAACCCTTTTTCACTAAAAATATAAACTTCTGATTATTTTAATTCTTAATTGGCCATTGTGCATTTGTTTTCTTGAAAGAGAATGTGACTTTGTACACTTAGGCTTAGTCTTGAATTATATATTGGACAAATTAAATATCCCCAAAATATTTTTTTTTGTATTTTGAATTTGTTAAACTAGTGGAAGCAAACGTATATATAATTTAATTTATATGTAAAATATTTTACATGTACTTGCAGCTTTATTCCCATTTCACAGTTACCTTAAAAAATATAGTTAAGGCCAAAACAAAATATTTTCAGTAATGTTCATGGGATAAAGTAGGGTTGGTAGATAGGGATTTTTTCCTGGAATGGTGAATTTTTTGTCAAACAAAGGTGCTTATATTATTGGAGTTGAGAAATGTTCATTTTCTCGCTCTGGTAAACAATAGCTGTTGACATTACATTGTATTATCTGGATGAAGATGCATATTGCCAACTAAACTGTATGGGTGCAGGGGAATCCTAACTTCATGCATGTGAAATGCAAAATAGGATTCAGTGTTTTTCAATAGAGTATTTTGTTTATTGTTTTAATGGCCAAATTCATATCATCAAAACAGTGTGTGCAGCCGCAATTATATAATGTGCACATAGTGTACCACATCACTTGAATTTGTGAACAGTGAATGGAAAATACTGCTCGATAAAAACAGATTCATCAGATCACCAGCTTTTTAAAATTTCTTCCAGATTTTACTTGATAACTAAGCTCAGTTATGTTTTATATAATTTTTAATATTTTTTTCTTAGTTACAGTTAATAATTTTTGATTTGCATTAAAAAAAAATTGGGATGGTCAGTGCTGGAAACACTTTTCCTGTTTTTTAACCTAAGGTTAAGTTACCTCAGTGTTTGTGTATTAAGGAAATGTTTTTTTTTCCTGCTTTATTTTATTTTTTACAAGATCTGTTTTTCATTTCAGGAAATGAAGAAATACCTACATGAGATTATGTCTCAGTAAGTTTCTGGTTATTGTGTTAGTAATTATAAAATTGTTAATTATGAAAGGAAAAAAAAGGGCTCATGTATAATGAAATATTTTTTAAATTCAAATTTGGTGTATTTATTCAAATTAAGAATGTTTATATAAGATCACTTAAAATGTACCAACACCAAGTAATTGAATGTGCCTTCATTGAAATGATCTTCTTTAAAATTGTATTTGTGGCTGCAGTCATTTTCATGAAACTGATCAGATGGGATGAGTGCTTAAAAGGTAGAAAAATTACATATTACATGTATCTAGGCGACATATACATCTTAAGCAATTTTATGTAAAAGAAACTCCTTGTGGAAAGTAAACCCACATTGTTTTGAACTTTATTTTTGGGGGTGTTTTTCTGTTGTTTCTTTCATCTTTGAAACACTTTTCAGTTGACCTCCATTCCCTCATTTCTCAGTGGATTGACTTGAATCTTGGTAGGGTTATACTTTGTTCTAGTATGCCCAATCTATTTTTATTTTATTTTTTATTTAGGTCTTTTTTATGGGGTTAAAGGTCAAACAACCTAAAAATACATATTTTTGCTTCTGTGCGGTCATATTTACAGTGATTTATAGTTGTTGTTAGATTTTCTTATTTTTTAGAGATTATACTTTGTGTAATATTTTTTTTTAAATGTTATTTTGTTAACACTTATGTTAAAGTCTTGTATAGCCTCAAGTTTCCATAGTAAACTCACTAACAGTTGAATTTATAGTAACACGTTGCAAATGTTTTTGGTGGATACAATTAAAGCATTAACACTAATGTTTAATAGATGGCTTAACATGTAAGAATGCGTGAATTGCTATGAAAATATCTATTAAACCCTTTTCACTAAAATATAAACTTCTGATTATTTTAAGTCTTTATTGGCCATTGTGCAGTTGTTTTCTTGAAACAGAATTTGTACACTTAGGCTTGGTTTTGAATTATATATATATTGGACAAATTAAATAGCCCCAAATTGTTTTTTTTTTTTTGAAATTGTTAAAACTCTTGGAAGCTAACCACTGGTGTAAGTTCCACAGTTGTCACATTTGTATGATTGTTTTACACAAATATTGTTTGTTTTGAAATGAAATAAATGTCTTCATAACTGATAGATTTATTTTTACTAGTAGGTAAATAAAAATACCAAGAAATAAGAAATATTTTAATTGGTTAGACAACGAAATGTTGGCTAATAGTAGAATATTTAAAATTTTGTATGGTATTTAATATTTAAAATAGATGGTGAAAGATTCATCTAGAATATTTGTCAGTCAAAACTTAAAATTATGCCCAGCATTTATAAGAAAGTAAAATTACTTAATTTTATTTTAGATTTACAAGTGTAAAAATATCTACTTATTTATTGTTTTGGGAAATTCTTCTGTAAAATGTAAAAAAAAATAAAAAAGGAAGAACATTTAAAATAAAAAATGCATGTACTTTAACGTGTACATGAGAATATGTGAGTAACAGAAATGGCTTGCATGTATTTCAAATGAAAAAATTTCTTATTTGACAAACTCATTTAACAAGTTAGTAATAATAAAATAGCATTAAAATGTTTTTTTCAAGGTGACATATGTCATATTATGTCAGAGAATGTTTTTAATTTTGATTTTATTGTTACATTTTTCCTTGTAGAATTGATGGAATACATGCAGTTTTGATCACTGATCGGGATGGAGTTCCTGTATTAAAAGGTTATTTAATTAGCTGCTGCCTTGAATATATTTCTCAACAACAGCTTGTACTTCTTTAGTAGTGCCTTGCAAATATATTAACTTTATGTGTGAAAGATTCCAAGGATGTAAACTAAAATTTTAGTTTTTTTTTCTTTCTTGTGTCTTTTTTTTTTTGTCAATTGTATAATGCTGAAATGTATAGCTCTTCTTTGTACTTATCATTGTTTTGAAGCATTTCAGATTGGTGTATGATTTTTTTCCCCTTAACCCTTTCACTGTGGCTTGGATGTATCTTTCCCAGTGCTTGCACTGCAACTGGGACAAATATTTCTCATTGTCGATGCTGTTTATGCCTTCCTATGCTGGGTCCACATTCATCATCTTGACTATCATAACTAGATAGAGAGCTAGCATCCTTATTGTCTCATTGCCTCTTCATTATCATGCATTTGAACACCACTTGACTCACTTTCAGTCTCTTCTAAGCTATCTGAGTCAAGCACATCAAGTATATATACAGAGTAATTAGGGTTACTCATTGCTCTAGCAATGTTGGCACGTAGTTGTCGTATGTTCCACTTAGACATCTTGTTGGTTGCTGAAGGGCTGAGTGGAAAACTTTAAAATAAAGCCATATACCAACATTAGGTGGGATCCCAATAAATACTATCTAACTAATTTTGTTCCCATGCATCACACGTGGCAATTTTGAAGGACAATGAAAAACATTTGTCCCAGTTACAGCGTTAGGGGGTGGAAGCACTGGGAAATATACGTCTCAGATACAGTGAAGGGGTTAAATATGAAATATTCATTTCAATTACTTTTGTTTAACTTTGTAGAGTTTTACATGTAACTGAGTATCATATTTTTTTGATATAATCAAATGGTAATCTGGTGAGCAGTTTGTGTTTAGTTTAAGAAGTTTTTTTTTTATCTAGTATTTAATATTTCAGGTAACTTAGTTATATTTATTACTTAGTAAGCTCTAGATATAGTACAGGAGAAAGATTGTGGAATGCTTTCTTCATAAGAAAATTAATTAGCATAAAATATCTACTTAAGAATGATGCTTGTAATATTATTTTAAAATTGATTTGATTTTCAAGTTCTGTAAGATGCATATTCATTAACTGATCTTGATATATACAAATACAAACAAAATCAAATTGTTGTAATTTTATTTTTATTTTTTTTTAGCTGCAACAGAAAGTGCTCCAGAGCTTGCATTGAGACCTGGCTTCTTAACAACTGTTGGAATGGCAACAGATCAAGCTGGAAAATTGGGCATGGGTAAAAGCCAAAGAATAGCTTGCATCTATGGCAAATATCAGGTGAAAATTAAGCAGTAGTATATTTTTGTGATGGTGAATAGCACAGTTTGAAATATAGCAACAAAACTCAACCTTTTACCTTATGGCAGCTAATTTATGTTAAAATTATCATTATTATGCAATGAAAACATGTATCAAAACCAACAGGTTATACCACATCAAAAAGTAAATTCCAAGTAAGCAAGAAAAAATTAACTTCTTTGGTAATTCTTAATGAACTACATTGTTTAACCAGTTACAATGTTTTGTAGTTTGCATCTTCTGTTAGTTTTATGATGTCAATGAAGTATTACACTTTTATCGTGTTTGTTGTAATTTTTTTTGCACTCAAAATTATTTTGAGCAGAATATTTTTTGTTCTGATATTCGTATATAAAACAGAAAAGGAATTTCCCATAATTTGGGGTTGCTATGCCTAATTCACCAACCTCAATTATTCTTTTCTCAGTTTTTATTCAGTGTAGAACCATCTCTGTTATTTAGAACAAAGACTGGCATTGTGACAACCATTGTAAATTAAGTGTGTGCCTTAAATGTTTTGACAAACTGGTGTTGACTTACCAGAGATATGGTAATGGTTTGATAATGGTATCTTCAGAGTTTGGAAGCTTTGGTTGAATTCAACCATTCTTGAACTTCTTATACCCAGCTATAAAATTTTCACTTGATCACTCATATATCCATTAAATGCTGATATCACTTCCACTTATCTGCTCACTTTACTGATATCATCATCATTTTATGTCAAGGAACATGAAATAGTAATTTGTAAGTTGCCTACCATTTTTCATGTTTTCAACATTGATTAAACTTACACTAACTTCATCAGTAAGTTTCTGATTATATTTAAATACGATGACTACATATGAATATAGTTGGATATTTTGAAACTGAACTGTATTAACACTGTCAATGACATCTGTTGTACCTATCCTGTTTCTGTGAATCTATATGTAGTTGTGTTTACTATAATTCTGAATTTATAAGTTTATCTTCATGAAATTTTGCAAGTTTTTAGTAAACATCATAAGTATTTTATAAAAAAAAAAAGAGCAGATTTTTAATAAAATATTTTACTAAAGATTTGTTTGTGAATTTATGAAGCCTCTACTGAGTCAATCCGAGTGAAAGGTGATTTTTTTATGATAAGAACAAAAATACTTTTTTTCTGTGATCCTGTTTTCATTTTTAATTTGCATAACTTCTAAAACCTCCTAAATAAATATAAATTTTTCACATAAAATTCTATTTTGTTTTTTCTCCACCCTAACACGAACTGGAGTAAAATAATCAATGTACAGAGGGAAAAAATTATAAAATACAAAATAAACCAATAATACTTTTTTCTAGAATACTGCAGATTTTAACATACAGTTACAATTATTTATCATAACAGTCTTGGCTGTCTAACATTTTCACATCTGCATGTTTTAACCCTCTTGCAACTAGTAGTTCAAAGTGCACATGTAACAACCTTCCAGTGAGATATTTTAAAAACTTAATTAAACTATTTTATTATCAATGTATACAAATAAACATGGCATCAAAACAGTTAATAAATTGAATTTTAATGTAATATAACTTATAAGTTCTTATTTTTTATAAGGAAATATTTTTACAAAATCTTCTAGTATAAGAATGTGACATTTGTTCTGTAGATCTTCCCCATTTTCTAAGTGAAGGAAATACATGATTTAATGTAAATTACTTATTATAATAGCCTTCAATTTTATTTGTTTATAGTCATAAACTAGAAAATCAGAACTATTTGCCAGACCCACCTGTCACGTACTGTTTCACAAGTTGCCAATAATTCTCTGTGATGTTTTATTCTATATCATTCATAACCAATAGAAAGGCAAAAGTTTAATCTTTTGAATAATTTATAATGCTACATCGTTTTCAGTACAGAGTATTGTCAATTTCATCATCAGATTGAAAGTTTATTTTATGGTGTTCAGATTGAGAAGCTAAGGGAATTAATATAAGCCACTCCTGTCTTGATTAGAAAGCAGGTTAAATTGTAACAGTTAGCAGACATTGTTTGCTTTGTGCATGTTATTATTCTGTTTTCTTAGGTGCATTATTTAAGTAAATAATAAAAAAAAAATAGTGTACTAGTACCATCATTATATTAAAAAAAAAAAAAAGGCTTAAATTTCATTGGCACCTGACAACAAATAAACAAGATCAAACGTTAGTGTTATTTCTTGTTTTTCATATAATTTTTTGTTTATTTTTATAAAAGTAAAATGTAAGAATTAAAAACTTAAGTTAGATAAGGTTAGAATAGTTAAGATTATGAAAAGTAATGTAAAGAATTATTATTAAGATACGCTTACAAGCAGCTTATGTTATGTCATTCAATACAGTAATGTGAGATGAGCTACCTGTTCACTGAGTGATTTACAATTTGAATGGCAGGATTAGTAGTTATTTATGGTTCAAAGGGCAATAAAATAATAAAATTAAATATAAACAGTTGTAGACTGTTACAAGCCTTAAACTATTTAGGATAAACAATTGTAAACTTATGTTATAATCTGCAGTCATTCTAGGAAGAATTTAGATTTTTTTTAAAGACTTCTCAACGAATATATGTAGTCAGTGTTGACTGCTTTTGAGTGCAAAGTGTATTTCATGTTAAGATTAAAAATACTTTTCCTTGAAAAATTATAAAATTATATTTGCATAACTTCTAAAACCTCTTAAATAGATAAAGCTTTTTTTTCAGTAAAACTTTATATTTTATCTGTTGTTATCTCTTACCTAACTCTACACACACTGCAAATTTGACTGACCTCATAACTCCCCACAACAACAACAAAGAGTAAAGTATTTTTAACAATTTGATCTTTTTTGTACAAAATACTTGTAATATCTACTGAAAGCTTGCCAAATTTTGTGAAGATACACAAAACCTATTAAGAGATATAGTATGGAAAGTCTGATTACTTTGTGATTACAAGGTTGGTCATATTGACCAACCCCATATAGAAAGAGTTAATTTAGTTTCTTTGGAATGTTCTTTAGCAATTAACCATGGCAGAAGTGTAAACAACTGATTAACTGTCATGTGATGCAGCTATTCTTGTACAATTTAAGTTTTCTAATGTTAGTTTTATTAAATGATGTATAACAAATAATAATATATGCATGAAAAACAACAAATCCTGGATTTGCATTATAGTTGGAAGCCTATTTTAGGAATATGTACTTGAGGACATACTTCCTTAGCACTAGTTTTTTCAGACTATGTTGGTTCTCCCCAAAATCATTAATATTCCTTTCAAATATGCATTTTAAAATTAAAAAAAAATATATCAGACCTACCAGCATCCATACATAATGTTAACTCTTGATGCAAGTTTGATCATTTTGTAACTATTGGATAACTATGGAAGTATAGCTTTTAATGTGATATGTGTATCTTCACATATCTTGTACACAAAAAAATCAATTTTTTAATTAAGAGTTTTTGCTGAAGATTTGTCTGTGAATATATGGAATCCGAGTTTTGAATTTTCTGAGTGCAAGGTGATTTTCATGTTCAGGTTAAAAATACTTTTTTTTTCGTGTAACAGTTTTCATATTTGATTTGCATAACCTCTAAAGTTTCTTAAGTGAATATCAATGTTCTTTTTAGTAAAACTATTTTATATGTTGCTTTCTCTACTCTTACTCTATATGGACTTGGTCAATTTTACAGAACTTTTAACCACAACAAAAAAAAAATGGGAAATATAAACTACCCGTTTCTTTCTTTCTAGAATGACTGCACATTGTAACAAAATTTCAGTCGTTTATCCTAAACAATTTAAAGTTTGTAACAGTTTACATCTGTTTTTATTCAATTTTATTGGTCTTTGAACTGTGTCTAACTAATAATCTTGTGATAACACAGGAAACCATTTGGTGAATGATTAGCTTGAGTTGCTGTATTGTATGACTTAGTCCACAAGATACTTGCAAGCATTATCTTGTGGAGAAATTTTATTTTTTTTCATTATTTAACCTATTATGTTTCTAATTTTTACATTTGAACCATTTTTATACCAATAAGTAAAGAATATACATTAAACAAGAAATTTAATGCTTACATTTGGCTTCTTGTTTTTTTTTTGCTGTTGGCCTACCGATGAAAATTAAGCATACTTTCTTTTGTAATGATGGTACTAATACGTTAATCTTTATTTCTAATATGTACTTATGAATACAAAATAACACGCAAAGCAAACAATGTCCTATAACTATTATAATTCAACTGGCTTTCTAACTAAGGTATAAGTGCTTTTGTGTGATAATTGCCATAATCCTATTGACATGCAAACGACAATGGATTTCTTTAACTCTGCTTATAAGAAATTTGGACTCTTCATGAATACAAAAATCATCTTTCAATCGAAACCTTTGAGACCAAACTTTAAACCTCACAAAATTTTTGTCGATGAAGAACTACTGGAATGCATGGATCACTTCCCACATCTTGACAGTCATCTATCTTCGAACACAACCATTGATAAGGAGGTTGAAAGCAGAATAAGCTGTGCTGGGAATGCTTTTGCAGACTGAGACAACACCAAAGCCCTTAAAGGATTCCATCAGAGATGCATCTGTCAAATCCTTGGAATCAAATGGGAGGACAGAAGAACCAACATCAGCATCTTCGAAGAGGCTGATTACACAGGCATTGAAGTCCAGCTGATAAAAGATCAACTTCATTGGGGCGTCACTGTCTCTGTATGCAGGAACATTGCCTTCCTTGTCAAGTCCTCTTCTTGGAACTTCATCACGGCACTCATTCTCGGGGTGGACAAGTAAAAGATGGAAGGATACCCTGAAATCCAACCTCAAAAAGTAACCATCAACCTCAACACATGGGAGGAGGATGTACCTCACTGTTCCCATTGGCATCATCTAATCCATCATGTGACAGACACATTTAAAAATTGATCGACGAGAAAACAAGAAGCAGAAGCAACGAAAGAGAAAGAAGCCAACTCTTCTTTGCGACAATGTTTTCCTCTGAGTACTATCTGCCAGAGTTGTTCCAAACAAAGTAAATCTCGAATTGGGTTGTTCAGTCAAATGAGAACACATTCACCCTAGGAGACTTTGTCTTTGCTTGTGAAGGACTGCTGCCAACAAGTGCTTAAAAATGATTCCTTAGCTAGTCGATCTGAAGTCTGCTGAAAACAAGGAAAGCATTATATGTCTATCAGTAAATTAAAACTATCTTTCTGTTGGTTATAAATGATGTAATAGTAAATGTCAAAGAAAATTATTGGCATTTTATGAAAGAGAGTATGTTATATATGGGCATGGCAAGTGGCTCTGACCTTCTAGTTTGTATTTCTGTAAAGAAAGAAGATTGAAAGCTATGAATTATTACTCTGCTTTAGTAATATCTATACTAACTATAATATGTATTGTACATTAAACTCGGGACATTAGATATGGGTAATGAAAAAAAAATAGAGAATTAGAAATTTGGAGTAAAAAAATATAATACACATACAAGAGGAAATTGAAAATTTATTTAAATATTTCCTTTTGAAATTAAGGAATTAGGACTTAGTTAATATACCAAATTTATTATTACATATGTTTTGATGTCAAATATATTTGTATACATTGATAATAAATTTTGAATGTAATTTTAAAAAGTTATGACATGCACTTTGACCTATCCACAGAGAGAAGGTCAACAAAAAGCTAAGTTTAAAAGAAAGACATTATGTGCTGAACCATGCATTACCTCGCCATCACAAATGTACGTAGGATATACTGTTTCTCAAACTGATCTCTCTCTCTCTGTCTTTAGCATATAATCCAAAGGCATATAAATCTCATTAACCCTTTCTTACTGATACCCCTTAATGTTTTCACTTCTTGTAGTGGAAGTACTGAACCAAACTGAATAATATCTAGTTTTGGTTTCAGTAGATTTGTATAATTTGATATTCTTTTTTGTATAATTTTTTTCATGCCATAAAATTTCAAAAAATTTATTGTGAAACACTGTTTTTAAAAACATTAAAATTACTTCCTTTATAACAGAATTTAATTTTTTGTATTAGAAAGTTCAGTTTTATATATCAATTCCAACTTGATTGATAATAATTAACCTACTTCTTTTAATACTCTATCTTGCCAGTTGCAGTAGTCACCATTTCTGGCTATAAATCATAGTAAAACACAAACTAAAAGATTATTCGTGAACTAAGACCTGATCTTTCAAAATGATGTTAGGTAGGCCAAGTAACATCGTTTTTGCTATTTTCTGAAGAAATTTACAAAAAAATCAAAAATCTACGACTTGTTTCTTTTTCTAAACTTCCAATTAGATTTTGTTATTCCCTGCAGGAGTTACATGTAGTGACTTTACTACAGAACCATAAATTATTTCTTAAACCATGTGACTCACTCTACATTCATGTAAATAGTTTATAATCTGTCTCATTTAATAATATTTAAACCTTGCATGTAGCCATATTCAAAGCTGAACTTCATTAGTAGTAATTCACACTTTGAAATCATAAATAGGTACGACAAAAGGAAAATCATTGAGAAAACATGGATAATTATGAGAGCTGGGTTATTACTGGAATTTGTTAATTGATTAACCATTTGAGCTTATTAATCAATTACAGATGCTCTATAATAAAGCAGTCTTTAAACTACCTTAGTATAATTTTTTTCATATGCAAAATCATATAGAACATCTTGCAGTGTATTATGAAGCCTGAAAAACATAGGCTGTCAATAGGACATGGCAGTATGCAGTGTGAGATAAATGTTATTTTGAAAAATAGTGATGCTAGAAATGTATTATTATCTTTTATGTAGTAAGGGTGTTTTTTTTACAAGGATTAATTTTTGTTTAATTTTTCAGGAAGTTTATTTTAATCTTATAACATTTTGTTTCACATCCCTAAAAAAATATTAACTTTACTTGGGTTTAGGAGTAAATGTGTGGATGAAGATCACAAGTTGCATAATATTTATGTACTTAAATATTGGCAAGTTTTTGTAAAATATAGTCCTCATTTATGTAGGTTGCTTTAATCCTATTTTGGTTGCAGGTTATCCACTTTAATAGATTTCCTCTTATGGTGAGCATGATTGCCAGCAGTACTGCTAATACTGGTAAGTCAGTGGTTAATTTCTCAGTTTACCGTAGTGTACAAATTTAGTAGAACACCTTAACATTTGCTACCTTATGAAATTTTCACACAAATAATCATTAATTAGCTATAGAAATGTTGCAAGTATTGTTTTCTTTCTCAGTTTCCTTACCTTAGGAAGTACATTGAATTGTTGGAAAGGGTTCACAGGAGGGCTACTAAGATGGTACCTAAAATACAATGGTTGACAGATGAGGACAGGTTAAGTTCTCTGAAATAGCTTTTTCATGCAAAAGAAGAGTAAGAGGGGATCTGACTGAGGTATTTAAAATTATCAAGGGAATAGATAGTGTTTATGCATCATCATAATTTTTCATATTTAATGAAAAGAATGATAGGACTAGGGGACACACATTTTGACAGGGTAGGAGTCATCTTCAGCTAAGACAGTTTTATTTTTTCAAACACAGTGGTTGTCCTTCGCAATGGATTGCCTTCAGTTGTGGTGGATCCAGTAAATTAAGAGAGTATCAGGGAAGATTTGATAAATAAGGGCTGGCTTCCTCGTCCTCGAATTTTGTTATGCTACATGCTATTCTTACAGGAAACTTATAAAGTTAATGCAAAGATATTGTTGAAGTTTTGATAGCTGATATTTAGTGTGGTCATATTTTGCATCGGCTTTAACATTGCATCTTTGATGCATTGTGTTTGTAGGTTTTATAAAAGTATCTGATGTAATTTGTTTCAATTTTTGCTTGAGCTGTCTCAGAAACTTTCTTTTGTTCAGTTGGAACTTTTGTCAAGTGAGGAGGAGTCTAGCAAAGTTCAGATTTGTTCTATGGGGTTGACCCTATGTGCATGTGTCAGTCAATTTGACACAATTTTTACACCAAAATCAATTTTTCACAGATTATTTTACTAAAGATTTGTCTGTGACTTGTTAAGCTTTTACTGAGTCAGTCTGAGTGAATGGTGATTTTCATGCTAAGAATAAAAATACTTTTTTTCATCTTACAGTTTTCATATTTCAATATTAGAAATAAATGACCTTATAACACCAAATTGTTGTTTTTCTTTAATTGCACACTCAACGCTTCACTTTACAGCTTCTGCAGGATCATTCCATTAAAACACAAACCGTAACTGACAGTACAAAGCTTCAAATGGTTTAAATAATATATTTTAATTGCATCTATAGCCAGCATCTGACATATTAAGTAGTAAAGCTTATTGTTGAAATATGTCAAACACGCACTGTAGAAATGCACGCAATAGATTCGATTAGGATTTATTATTTAAACCATTTGAAGCTTTACTGTAAGTTATGGTTTGTGTTTTAATGGAATGCTTCTGAAGATGTAAAGTGAAATGTTGAGTGTCAAATTAAAGAAAAATTACACAAATTAAATAATGAGTTTGAATATTTCATTTGCATAACTTCTAGAACCTCCTAAATATCAAAAGTTTTTTTTGTAAAACTTTATGCTTTTTCTCATTTTCTCTACCCTAACACTAATTGGAGTGAAATCATCAGTTTACATTGAAAAGATTAAAATGAAATAAAATTGCCTTTTTTTTTATAGAATGATTAGAGATTGTGACATTTAATTACAATCTTATATCCTAACATCTGCATTCACTTAGTTTTATGGTTTTATTGTCCTTCTCTCAGTAAGTGAAAATCAGTCAAACTTCAAAAACATGAATTTTGTGAGCAGAGTGAGATTTGAAATTCTGCCCAATTAGCTTCTTTTTGTAAGGTATAGCATCATGGATTAATAAATTGTGATATTTATCTGATATGTGGTTCCATCAGTTTTGTAAAGATGGCCAATACCATCCTCGAATATTGTGCCCAAACTATGACAGACCTTCCTGCTTGCTTGACATTTCACATAAAGTACTCCTTCTGAAACTTCTCATTGATGCTGGCAAAGAGAAACATTCCAGTAAGAACTAGATGGTTCAAATTTATATTTGTATATCCAAAGCACCTTGTGCTACTGTTCCAAAGGTCAGGGTTCTTGTTCTTCCACAAAATCTAGTCTCTTTGTTATATTCTTTTTTGGCATTAAGGGATTTCTTATTGCTACTGTTTCCTAAAAGCCTCACTTCTGTAGTATTCTTGAGTTTTCTTTTTGAAACTATTTGTGTATAACTTGTTAATGTCATGTGCAAGGTTTTTCCACAAGCTTCCTTCATTTTTTTATTATTATTATTTAGAAAATTAGATTTTTAGATATCTAACAGTGAGCTTTTTTCTGTCCCCTGATTTGTCTGATAGGACTGAGTTTCCTTGTATGTATTCCACGTGTAATTCACTGTACTTGGTGAACAGCCAAAGTCTTTTGCATTTATTCTTAAACTGCAATCAGCATCATGCAAAGATTTGACTATGAATCAGGTGTTAATTCTCCCTGTTAGCATTTTAATGGCACAGCACACTATATCAGCTATATTGGACACCATTTAAAAAAAAACAACATAACAAACCCCCTGTATACCTACATATACCTGCATGAAAAAGTCAAAATGTGAAAATCTCAAATTTTTGTCAGTGATGACTTGTGAAGAAACTAAAGGCAATTGTGTGCAACAGTGCTGTCCCACTTTGAATTAGGAGTAGACACCTCAAACAACTATTAAAAAATCTACTTCCTTAAATCAGTTGTAACTGTAAATTGATTTACATTGATTGATTGATTTTGAATGAATTAAATGAGAAAATTAATAAGAGAATTAAGTGAAAAAAATCAGTGATTTGCCTATTTTGATATTTTTTAAACTGGAATAGTTTTATTTCATAGGCATAATAAGTCAAAACTTACAGGAGCAATGGGGTATTCTAATAAATGTACACACTACTATAGACTTGTAACATAAAACTTAATTTTTAGGTTTTTAAGTTAGATTTTAATGGATAGTGCATCTCCTTCCTGGAACGGGAATTCTTGGTTTTTTTCCTTTTAACTTAGAAGTTTCTGTAGCTTGATATTAAGCCTTTTCTAGACATGTTTGAGATATGGGCTATTTTTTTTGGGGGGGGTCTTTGAGCTTCCATTTATCTTTTATTTTGCTTGATTTAATAAAATCTACCCTCTTATATGTAACTATGTATAAATGGCTTTTAACTGATCATTCGTTGTGAAGTTAATGCCTTGATAGCTCAACAAGGTAGTTGGTTATGTAATATGATGTAGCTTTTAATTTTGGCTGTTGGTTAGGCAATATCTGAGTTATGTAATAGAGTACCATGCAAAAGGTTTGAGATATGATCTGCAGGTGGGATAAAGTATAGAATAATGCTAGAAGTTATAAATTATTTAAGAATATTGCACATGAAAATGTTGAAAATATACTAAGTAGTTTAATTTTTTCAAAGTCAGTTTAAAATATCACGTTTGTTGTTAAATTGTTGCTTGTATATTGTATGTGAATTTGCTTGTTCTAGAACATTGTTGTACATTTGTCAAAGATTTTCACCAGTAAAAAGGTATTAGGTAGATAATGTATGGAAAAGAAACTTGCTGTTATATATATTTAACATATATAGATTTAAAAGTGTTTGGGTTCTTTATTTAATGTTTGCTTTAGCCCTTTGCAGTTTAATAGAAAAAAAGCAAAAAAAAAACAGGTTCATGAACTTAATGCATTTGTTAGTTAATTTTCAAAACAGCTGGAGAATTTTTCAGAATTTAGTTTTATGTCTTTAAAATTTGCTAAGAGCACAATATAACTTTTTGAATTTTTTATTTGGATTAATACTATTACTTTTTTGTTATAGGAATGCTTTTGGGATTAGAGGCAGAGTTGTCCAGTTTAGTACAAGACCTGAAAGCAGCTGTTGACGTAATTTAAGATGGAAATTGTTTGGAAAATGATATAGATAATCATATATCAAGTTGCTTAGGTTTTTGCCTTTCAATTACTAAGTCCACTGGAGACCTTTACTGTCATCATATTTGTATTTGTTTTAATGTCAAGCTCTAGCAAAGGCTGAAATTATTAAGAGAAATGGATATTGATGGTATAAGGATCATGTAAAAGCTATTAACAAAACAAGGTTAAATAAGATTCTTTTGAAATAAGTACAATGATTCTTGGAGAACTTAAAATTGAACCTTTGTTTAAAGTTGTGCAAATAAACTGAAGATCAAAACTGTATTTTTTTCCTATTTTTCTTGTTTTTTTTTTTGTGGAATTGCTACATGCACTTGTAAAAAATAATAATAATAATATTATATACATATATATTTGTTGTTTAAAAAAAATGGGCTAAAAATAGAGAATTTATTTAAAACATCATGGGAACAACACTACCATTCCAGAAAGTGCAGATTTGGCCCCTCTAAGTACGAAGACGGATTTATAAGGTCAGTTTTTCTGTGCACTTAAGTAGTTACTGCTGGAAAAGGTATAAATTGATTGCTGTAGGCAGTAGTTAAATTTCAGTACTGGAAATAGACAAAGCATTTTTAAGTTGTAAATATACAGGAATATATATTATTTTTAACTTTTTATTAAAAAGATTAAATACAATGATGAATATATTAATGGTTATCTGATCCTAACTAACTAAGTGTTGTTACCAAAAAAACAAATTAATTTAAAAATATAGCCATTTGACAATGTAATGAATATGAACTTCACCGTTCAGCAAAACGAAAAGCCGACATATCAAACATTTTATATTATGTATCAAGTGTATGTTATTTATTAATATGACTTAATCGTAAACTTATTATAATTCATTATTTAATAATCTATAATAAAGAACCCCTTTTTAATGTACTAAAAACATTATTAGTAATTTAAGATTAATTCAAAATTAACTTAGTAATGACAGGCTTGGTGAACATAATTGTGAATAAATCTTGAAAACAATTTTGTCTCTACAACAGTAATTGCATTTTTTAAATGTTATGCTTAATTTTATAACATGATAATTAGAAGAGAGCACAGAAGTAATGTGCTTGTTGTAAAATATCTCTTAAAAACTGTTGTAGTTTTTCTATTATCCATGTTTTTATAAAAGTCAAATAAAGAGAGTATACTACTAAAATTTCATTTTGTTTTTAATGATAAAATAGTTTTCATGACCTGTGTTACCAAATGAAAATAGTAAAGGTCATCAGAGCTGCCATGATGATTCCTTAAGTTAGATTTGATCAATGAATTATTTTGATTCCAGACTGTCATAATGAAAAAATAAGCTATGACCTTGATATTGTAGTAGTTGAAAATCTCATAAATCCTAAGCCTAATTATTCTTCATTGATGCAAAATGAAATGTCATTCATAAGTCAAATTGTTAGTTTTTAATTAACAAGCTCAACTTAGACAAGCAATAGCAAACAATTGCCATTAAAAAAAGATAAATGTTTCTGACCAGGTGATTTTATGGACCTGATACCTTTAGCAATACTTTCCCCTCTGCAAGAGAAGTATAAGGAAAAAGAATGTGATTTATCTTTGAAGGTTCACTGTGCTTCATCTTGTATATACTTCATAGATGATTACATTTTGGCCTTATACAGGTCAATATAGTTAAGCTTTGAGAAGTCTGTACATTGAGGGGAAGCAAAGAAAAGGGGCTGATTGATGAAATGAAAAGATGATAGTGTGTGATACTTATCAACAAGTCTTAACATAGGTTAAAGAACAAAAATCGGTAACCTTTCTGAGGTATTTTCTTACTATCACCAGAACAAACTTCTGTTTAGCATTTAAGATCTGCCCTCTAGCTGCACTATTTGGTATTTTAAGCCACTTTTACACTAATTTCCATTTTTGTACATTCAAAGATTACTATCACCACAGTGTCTTAAATACAAAGTGGGCAAAAAGTCTGCCCCCCTCCAATTTTAAGCTTGTGATGATTCATGGTGGAGCTTTATCAAACAGATTGTGGCAAAGAAATGATATGAAACAACTGATGCTTTGAAACAAAAAATTGAGTTTTGCTAAAGTCACTCCTAGTATGCTAAGGAGGATGTCGCATTGCACATGGAGACGTATCATCCTACGTCATGGAAATGAAGGCTAACAGACAGAAATTTTGGATTATTAATCAAACCTTTTGTTAGTCTTTGTCAATATCAGATATGTCAATGTGCAATAAATTATCTTTCATGTACACTATTTGAGGGGAGGGCATCCAAACTTTTTGCCCACCCTGTACACTCTTTGCCCAATCTTATAGATTTATAAAATGCCTAAACTTACACTGACCAGATGAAAATATTCACTAGCAAATGAAGCCATTTAGACTTTGATTTTAACACTGGTTGTACTTGATTTTAGTTGTTTTATTTGTACAATAATTATCAAACCCACATACTATGAATAAAGTGAATTACAGTGGGTTGTATTATAGTCTGCATAACATTTAAACATTATACATAAATATCTGGTTTTCAAACATGAACAGGGCCCAGCATGGCCAAGTGGTTAGGGTGCTCTACTCGCAGTCTGAGGGTTGCGGGTTCGAATCCCCGTCCCACCAAACATGCTCGCCCTTTCAGCCATGGAGACTTTACAATGTGACAGTCAATCCCACTATTTGTTGGTAAAAAAAAGTAGCTCAAGATTTGGCGGTGGGTGGTGATGACTAGCTGCCTTCACTCTAATTTTACACTGCTAAATTAGGGAGGGCTAGTGCAGATAGCCCTCGTGTAGCTTTGTGCGAAATTCAAAACAAACATGCACCAAAAATTGCATAATGAGACTATCTTTGTACAGGCCATTTTATTGACTGAACAAAAAATACAAGAAAAATATTTTGCTTTTATAAGTGACTTACTTTGTTAGGAAAAGCATTTTGTAATATACTATTTATGAAAAAATTTGGTAAGAATATTTGTTAAGGCACTAGATTTGCATTTAAGTGCATTCAATAGTGTGGCTGTTTTTTATCAATGAATTTATATTGTTTTAGTTATAAACCACTTATTTTGGAAGGAGTAATATAATTTTCTTCAGCCATAATAGGTTAATGTTATTTAAAAATATTGTTTACAATTGTGGAATGACTTAAGTTACAACTTCTATGAGCTTATCCAAATATTTTTAGATGAATAAAAATAGACCAAATCCAAGATGTCATATTCGATTTGGTGCTGTTTAAGTACTTTATATCATTGTGCCTTGTTTGTATGCTAAAGTCGAAACAATTTCAATTCAGAATAATTGTTTACATACGACATAAGTGAATCAACTTTTTTGTGTATGTTCAAAGTGCTTGGAATTCATATTAACAAAGCATATGAAAATAGCCTAGTATGCACATAGCTAATTTGAAAATGTACAAGCAATGTGCAGCAAAATATAATTATTACAGAAATCTACATTTCTATCTAAGATTTGGTTTGAGTGTGCATACTTTTACAGAAATGTTGCATTGATTTATTTATATGTAAACTTAAAATTTTCTAGTAAATTGAAAGTTCCATACTAATATTAGTGACAAATTGTAAATACTATTGAACATGCTTATTGACAATACCAAAGACTTGTAGGCCTCCTCAAACTATTTATAAACATTCCTTCTTTGATGACGAGGAACCCACTTTGAGACTAATAATACATGGAGATGGCTTGAATTGGTTATGAAGAAAAACTTATGTTTCAACAAGGTTTTGATGATGTACCTGATGATGATAAAACCTTGTTGAAACATTTGCTGTTATGTTAAACTTATATTAAAGTTTTTCTTCATTACCCATTCAAGCCGTCTCCAAGCATTATTAACATTCCATATTGTTGTTTGTTCATAGTTCTTATTTGTAAAGAATGTAGAAGTTTATATTTAAAAGTTTTCTTTAATTTTCTTTTTATCTCAAAGAATTTTGGAAGAAGGAAAATGGAAAATATCCGACTTACTTAATTATATAACATATTGTTATTAATTTCATGCTCACTTGGTGTGAATACTGCATTACTTGTTTTGCATATTAGCTGATTTGAAAGGTTTGTCATTCCACTTGCAAATGTATATCAATACATAATTAATAGATCTATCTGTTTTTCAAGTTCATTTGATTTGTACAAAATAAGGTCTGTGTTTATTTTGTCAGAATTTATAATAAACACTTGTTTAATAACTTGCTTCAGGTGTTTTGTTTTTAAGTTGTCTTAAGCTAAAACATTTTTTGTCAGGAAGAGTTAGTGTAGAAATAACTAAATTGTAGTATGTACTCTTAAAGAAATTTAACGTATTCATTTGAATTATGTTTAGATAATTCCATAAATATGAAAGTTTTAATATCATAAAAAATTTTTGTTTTTTATGACTCCTGCTGAGCCAAAGGTCCTTAGAAAATATATTGATTTTTTTTAAAATGCTTTAAATCAGGTGTGTAATTTCTCGATAGCTTATGATATAAACGAGCGATATAAAATATATTTTTCTTTTTGTGTGAATTAGTTTTTGTCCATGTAATTTTGTGTTCGTTAAGTCAAAGTATACTTTACTAAGACGGGTAATTAGATTGTAAATGGACAATTTTGCACAATGTCCTTTTCTTTAATTTGTTGACTGTAGGAATTATATTAGTGTATATTATAGGCTATCCAGCTTTAAGCTTAATACTCTGCAAAGTTTTTGTTTTTTTTTTCCTAGTACTTATTTTAATTTTACGTTTAGGTAAACACTGCTGTATGTATCAAAGACAATATTCCTAATCCTGAAGTCTTAGATATAATTTATTTAGTTTGATTTAGATTATACATATTTCACACATTTATTGTAAATAAATTTTTAATTTATCATACATTTTCTCATTACGTTGTTTAAAGATTTGGTGTGATTGTTACACACAAAGCTACACAAAGTGCTGTTTGTGCTCTTCGCACTACAGGTATGGAAACACGATATTTCGTGTCATAATCCTGCAGACTTGCCGCTGAGCCATTGGGAGAGAAGGGGCACATTATTTAAATAAAAATGCATCATCATGAGTGACAGTGAGAACTTGCAATTTTTAATTTCGGTTAAAGAATTACAAAGCAAAGTTGATGTGAATATATCTTTTTATATGAAGGTTAAAGGTTTAAATCTTAATAAATGGATTTGTAATTCGTTATTGCTTATTATAATGTATGTTTATTTTAAAATGCATCAAAGTCATCTTGATAAAATATTTTTTATAGAAATTAATTATATTTATATATGGTATAATATAGCAATGGATTCATGATGGGGAAACAGAAGTTTAATAATGAACATTAAGACGGTTGGTAAAACATTTTTATTTATAAGATTCGAACGTTTCGGAATAACTTATTCCATCTTCAGCGAAGTCTGAAAATTGTGTTACAAAGATGATTATTACTAAAATTTTAATTATAATAGTGTGAAAATTTTAGATCTAAAAAGCTTTGTGAGTCTTTATGGGTCTTTAGTATTGAGTAGACTTTATTTGATGTAGAGGTCGAGGTCTGAAGATCCTGTGGCAATGATGATAGAAAAATCGTTAATTGAGATATTGTGACCTGTAGTTTCGAAATGTGAGCGAAAGGATGAGTGGCTGGGTTTAAGTAGTGGATGGTTGGTTCTGTTAGATACTCCTAAATGTTCACATACTCTAGTTTTTTAATGGCGTTTCGTTTTGCCAACGTACGTGACCTTACAGTTACTACACGTATATTTATACACGAGCCATGAACGTAGGAGTTTTGGTACTTGATCTTTATACTGAAATAAGTGTTTAATGCGGAGGCTAGGTCTGCATGTTATTCTAAGCAGAATTTGAGGATAGAAGATTTTTTTTTATTAGGGAAGAGAGTTGTTTTTTAATTGGTAGTGACTGCGAACCCATAAAAGGAAGGGGTATAATGAGGGGAAATTTGGGAACGGTGTTTACAGTGGTTGGATTTTGTTGTTTAGGAAATTGTGTGTAATCTTCGTTAAAAAATAAATCCGGTAGCCAATATTTAACGTGTTTATATAGAAGGGTAATTTCTTCGTGTAAAATAAAATAATTAGAACAAAGATTAAAAATTCTGTTCAACAATGATATAACCAGATTACGTTTGAAAAAGTTGGGGATAAAACTGTTGAAATTGGTGTAGAGGCAAGTAAAAGTTCTTTTACGATAAACAGAGGTAGAAAAGTGTTTACCTTCTTTGGTAATCCTGAAGTCAAGGAAAGGTAAAGAATCATTTTCCTCGAGTTCGGATGTGACCTTGATATTGGGGGTGTTGGGAATTAAGGTAAGAAAGGAACTTGGAAACGTGACTTGATTGTCGAAACAGCAAGAAAGTGTCATCAATATAGCGTTTGTGAAGGACAGGTTTTGAATTCACGTGGCCAGTTTACCAGCCACTTGTGCTGTGGTATAATATAGTTTAGAGTGTATCCGATAGATGGTAGCATAGGTCAATATGTAAGTCATATTTTATTTTAGAGGCTGTTTATAATTGTATTTAAAGATGGTCCACTTCAGTGACTCATGACTTATCGGTTACTTTACAGAACTTCAAAACTCTCAAATCCATGGTTCGATTTCGCATGATGGTAAGAACGCAGATAACTTATTGTGTAGCTTTGCACTAAAAATTAATTTAAAAATTGTATGAAAGTCCTCGTGATAAAAATATTATACAGAAATAGTTAATTAAAATATGTATGTATGTCTTATACTAGTTTAAAATGTACTCAACAGATGGTTTTTAACAATCCGTATATTTGAATTTTTACTTTATGTAATAAGTGAAAATGTCAGAACACTAAAAGACTCTTTTTCTACTTTGTTTTTTATTTTTCCATAAAGTTTAAAATTGTTTTGTTAGCCTTTTAAATTCTATATATAATTTGTAACTATAACATTTTTACTACTTTAAAGTCTTACTTGTGTATGGTTAGTTGACCGATTTAGGATTTAATTAGAGGAATATAATGTAGCCTGAAAGACCCTCGGAAAAAGAGTGAGAATAGTTTATGTGGAAATATATTCGTGTGTGTATTGTAGATTTAGATATATTATCGGTGAAACCATCAGTAATGAAATAGTTGTAGCAAAATAAAAAAAAATATCTTTACATTTTGTAAATTTCGAGACTAATCTCTTAGATTATATTATGCCCAGTGTTTACTTCCCGCTCTGGTGGGGAGTAGCTGAAGTTAATATAATGGCTCAGGCGACGTTGCTGATTTCGTATGGTAGACTAGGTTAAGTCAGGCCATAGTACTAGAGTTAGGCTTAACGATAAGCTAACAGGTTATTGCGTTTTTACTGTGTATGATTGTGTACTTAGGAATTAGATTACACACGACAGCGTAATTGGTTTTAATAATTTATGTTTCGTAGGCAATGTTAATTGGAAGATCTTCACTTAGTAAGTTTTTATGAATTGTATTGTTCTATTTCTCTCCCGGACTTCTCTGTGCTAGTGTTATGGAAAATTAGGGTTAAGTACCGTAGCTTGTGAAGTACTGTCGAAAAAGTAGTGTTAAAACTTGAGTTGTTATTGTTAAATTGGTTATCTAACGTTTACAACATTAATGAAGACTGAATCTAGTATTTTACTTGAGAGTTTTTCCAAAAGTTGAATACAATGTGAAATGATTAGTTTGATGATGATTCTGATAAGTGGCTAAATCAGTAAATGTAGGTTTTCACACTATTGCTGGTTAGATCATTATTGTTAATTATTGTAATTCCACTAAGCCATTGTCACATTCCTTCTACATTTCAAAAGCACTCTAAGCCTTTCATCATAATATGTAAATATCACATATTGTCACACCTTTAAAACTTCTATTAAAATAGCCCCTGCTTGTTGTAGAGGAACAACAGAAGTTGTAAAATGACTTATCTAGGCATAAGTACAGCTGTCGCTCTGCATCATTGTTCCTTCTGTGTTCTAGTACATATCACATTCTAGATCTAGCATGTGGTAAGGTGATGGGTAGATGTGGGTTATTTTATTTTTGAACAAATCATCTTAAAATGTTAATGTGTCTTTATGTTATCAGGAAGGGGGAGCAAATAATCATGTGGGTATTAGAATGCAACTACATTCTCTTTGACATAGCCATTGGAATCTATTCAACATTCTAGACCTTTACATGGTTTGTTGAACTTTTAATTGCAAAAATAAAAGTGATGAAAACTAGAATTTCTGCATTTGAATATCAATTTAATGTTTAACGTTAACATTATTGGGGCTGCCAGATTTGTTACATTTAGGAGCCAGGATACTAGATTAACCTTGTGAGGGAGAAGGGGGGTTATCGTTGCCTTTAAAAAAAATTGACCTTATATTCACTTTTATACAAGTTATGTATTTTAGACAAAATATACACACAATGCTTTTTTGTTGAGTTTAATGTTTACAGTAATGCTGTTTTTTTTTTGTATGAAATGTTGAATTTGGAAAATCCTGCAGAAACTCAGCAGTTGGCGAAATTTCAGCAACTAAGAGTTGATGGCGATCAAATATTGGAAGTCTAAACGTCCTTTTTAGTACATATAATTTAAGGACAACAAGGGATCTGTTTGTCTACCTGGACCATCCCATCCACTAAGCTAAAATAAAAATAAAATGGTTATAGCCAGCCCTTTTCAAACAAATATTTATCAAACCTCCCACAAACTCCTTTAAATTAACTGCATCAGCTACATCTGAAGGCAACTCAGTTCAAAGAACAATCACCCTGTTAGGAAAATAAAGCTGTTGTAGCTGAAGATGACTCTTATTAAGCACAAAAAAAAAGTGATGTATTGACACTAACAATTCCATTAACAATATTAAACATTTCAGACAAGTCCTCTTTAACTTTTCTTTTTTCAAGAGAAAACAATTTCAGAGATGAAAACTATTCCTTCCCAGATATCATCCAAGTAACCCTGCTCTGAACCATTTTCAACAATTCAATGTCCTTCCTAAGGCTTCCAAAACTGAACACAATACTCCAGATGTGGCCTAAGCAATGCTGTATACAATGAAATTTTAACCCAATTAGACTTGTATTCAATATTTTTGTAGATACAGCCTAAAATTTTTATTTGTTGTACCCCCATTAACAGCACATTACTTGGGTGGCTTAAGAGAATGATCAATAGAATACCGATATCCTTTGATTCCATAACACTATGAAGGTTATACTCATCAAAACTACATTCTTGTTATTCAAATGATATGCCACATTTATTATAATTAAGCCATTTGCCATTTATCTGCCTAACTTGCCAAATAATCCAAACCCTTTCATAAAGCATCAGTGTCCTTCTCTCAGTCAACAACAACAACCAAAGCTGCAGTATCTTCAGAAAATTCAAATAATCTATTGACTATTCCCTCATTTTTGTCAATGATATAGATCAAAAAAAGGAAATATTCTCACACTGAGCCCTGAGGTACCCTAGTTGTGACAACATTTCAGTTTGACTGAACTCCATGTATGAGAACACATTTTCTTCCATCCAGCTATTTTTCTGTCCTTTGAGCCATTCTATCCCCCCCCCCCCACATACTTAGAGAAATTTTTGTTAACAAGCCTTTTATGTGGCACCTTGTCAAATGCTTTCTGAAAATCCAGATGAAACAAATACACACCCATACCCTTGTATACATAAGCAGTAATCTCTTCAAAGAATGTCAGAATATTAAGGCAAGATTTTCCTTTAGTGAAAGCAATCTGACTATGCAACAAAATTTTTAACTTAATTAACAGATTTATATCTGTTAAGACTTTGTTTATGGTATTTCAATATTTGAAAACTTGCATGTTGTACTGAACCTGTTATATGATGTTTGATTATATTGCGGGTATTACTGGTCAAACAAAAAAGTACATCTTGTTTTTTTTAAAAGTAAATTCATTACAAATTCCCAGACGCTAGGTAACTTTTATTTAGGCATCATATTGATTTGGCATCTTAGGATTCATCAAACCCTGAACTTTATATTGTCATCTTTGCTAGATATATATATTTTTTGCCCCTTAGACACATTAAGTTTGATCTACTAACTACTGATAGTTATGAATGTACTTTAGATTTAAAATTTAACACAAGTTATCAAATCAGATGTAAGATACCCCCTTCTCTCCAAAAAAAAACAAAACAAACCTAGTTTAATTTACACCAAATTTTGTTCATAAGCAATGTAATGTGTAAGTGCACAGACCAAAAGAGGCAGTAGATACTTTAAAAATATTCTTGTACTATTTATACTCAATCTAAAGATATTGAAGGCTATAGCATTTCATAGTGAAATATATTCAAAACAAATATTCTTTTTTTTTTTTTTGGTAAAGTATACAATTAAGTACACATTAAATTTCAGTGTTGGAAATAGATATATAACTTTCATATGATGATGTGAAAATATTACCCTCTAAAAATGTTTTTACCTGGCCTTATGATATCTATATATTATAAAAATATAGGTGTAATCTAATTGTTACTATTTCTGTCAAAAAAAATTGAATAGGCTTATGAACTGATTAATGGATGCTCAATGTAAACTAACTATTAAAAGTGATTTTGGGTTTTAAAAAATTTTTAATGTTAACACGAGTAACTTACAATAGAATGTTTTTCTTTGTTATAAACATGAATAATTCCTTAATCACTAGCTTTATTGTTTTACAAAATGGAACGACAATATACAAAACATCTTGCATTGCTCATGAATGCATATCAATTAGTTTTTTTTTTCTTGGTAAGGTTTAAAAGTAAGCTTATAACTTATACTGTATTTTGATCAGAAACATCCAAGGTGGTTATTTCAATTTAAATATGTTTTTTGCTGTTGATTTCATGCGCTTGAGATATTCAAAAAATGTCAGTATAATCATTGATATATACAAGTTGTATGAGCAAACACAAAAATGCAGTGTTTTATGTAGTTTGTCAGGATTAAGTTGTTTTGATGAATATAAACAAGAAATAGTTGTTACAATTTTTTCCCTGGTAGTAGAATAAAATAGATATTTATGTACAGTATTTGTTTCAAAATGTGTAATTTAAAAAATTTTTTTCAGTTTCAGATTTTGAAATATTCTAAGATGTCAAGACTAGGCACGAAGACTTACAGCCGGAAACAGGAATGCAAGACCAGTTTAAATTTTGATCAGCTTCTTTCTGAAAAATGTAACAAGCCCTCAACAGCCAAGGTATCAATGACATCAGTACATCGGTGGGGAATGACTTCATTTACGTCACTTCGAAAGTCTCAGTTAAATGGTCGTTCTGAGAGTTCTTTAGAAGAGAAAAATATTTTCAAAAAGCCAAGAGTGGAACCAACGGGATCAAGTGGAAAGAGTGATTTAAATAGTTTCACTAAAGAAACAGATTTTTCTCCCTCTGTCTTTATTCCTAATGTTGCAGTTGGTACAGTTTCTAGCAGTTTGTCAGTTACAGATTCTGATATAACAGAGGAAAGAAAAAACATTGCAAAACCAAAAAAATTTTTTAAAAGTAGTGATCGTATTTTGAAAACATATGGGGCTTTACCATTATCAAGGACAAATGAAATTTTAACTTCAAAACCACAGAGCAATTCAGAAAGTGGAGCATTAAAACTAGATTCACTCTCTCTCCATACTGCCACTGCAAAAATAGTATCAGTTCAGAAAGTTGACGACAGTACTAATCTTTTACATGAAGATGACAGTAAGTATGTGTCCAGTGAAATAACTAAAAATACTGAATTAGATCTCGTAAAAAATGCATCACATCATTGTGCTTCCGTTAATGTGTGTAATGACTTACCAAAATACAAGGATTTTGATAGGCTTGTGGATGAAGAGTTCGTTATAAAAAGAAAGATGGATGGAATGGGAAGAAGTGTTGTGTCTTGTACTCCTGATCAGCGTACTGAAATTCCTGCTCCAGATTTTGATTCACAAGATCATCAAACATTCTCACCTAGTGATAATTTTATAAATTACAAATCAGAACAAGTGCCCCATGTCGTACAGACGTATTCTAGAAGAAAAGCAAAACAAACGGTTGAAATGAATCAACTGCAACATCCAGTATGTGGAGACATTCAGTCATCTAATTGTGAAGGTGATCCATCTCAGGGTAGCCAAGTTTTGAAAACTGATACAACATCCACTCTTTCAAGATGTAATTTATCTGAAGAAGAATATCATACAGATGAACTCACTGAAGCTAGAGATCTGAAGAAAGAGAATCCTCTAGATACAAACATGTTACTCGAATCATTCAGACAAGATATTTCAAAAGAATCTATGCAGTCAAAACTTAGTCAACCAGCTTTGCGCACAAAAAAGATCTTCAGCAGCCCAAAAAAGGTCTTTATCTTGTTTTCTTTTTCTTAATAATAGCAAGTTATTTTCCCTGCTTGAATAATTCTTTTTGTAATTGTAGTAAATATTAATATTATAATTAGGCATTATTACTTAGTTTATCGTATAGCTCAGTGGCACAGTTTTCACTTTGCAAAGATTAGCTTATTGTGATTTTTTATTTTTAAATGGACATAATTTTTAACATATTAGTTAAGTGTTTTTGCATAAGAAATGCAACTTAAATTTTATTACTAAAAATATTTTTTTACACAGTTATTGTAAATTTTGGACTATTACTAGCATTTATGGCGGTTAGTTGAAATTGATAATTAATTGTAGGTGTCATTTATAGATTAAATTTAATTGATTGATTATTCTTACATGAGACTTGGACAGTTGTAATAATCAGATACTAATTTCACTTATTATTTTCATGAATTGTGACATTAATTGGTTATACTTAATAGTTTTAAATTAATCAAAAGTGATAATGAAAAATCGTAATGGCAATATTTTGATAACTTAGATAGTTGGAATAATCAAACAGTATTCATTGGAAACTAATTTTGATTAGTTGATTGGCGTAATGGCAATATTTTGATAACTCAGATAGTTGGAATAATCAAACAGTATTCATTGTAAACTAATTTTGATCAGTTGATTATTTTCATGACGTTGACTTAATTTAATTTTTGACTGATCAATTATTTTATGTGGCATTAATCAATATAATTTATGCTTATAGGTAACTGATTATACCAAGCTAATCACCATGTTACAAATCATACATACACAGTTTTTCTTCAATAATTTTATATGCTAATAAAATGAAGTATTGATTAATATAAACATCTTATTTTCTAAATAATTCCAAGTGACTGTGTTTCTAAAAATTTTGATTACATTTACGCACAGATGATTTGAAGTAGAATAATTCATTTGCATGAATGTCTATATATTTCTTATATTGGACATATCAGCATGTCTAGCAAACTTGTTATTGGTAATTTTAAGAGATTTGTTAGTTAAAACATTTATCTTAAAAGTATCATCAAAACAGCATATTGAATATTTACATACATTTTTTACTCCAAAAAATTTTGGGCCTCACAAACATATTTGAATTAAATTTATTTTCTTGATATGCATTAGCTTTATGTTGGCCAGTTTTAACTAGAGAAATTTTCTTGTTTCTGTGTGATGATTGCAAATACCTGTTGTTGTTCTGAGATAAAATTCTAGTTCTTTATATCATTCAGATGATTTAGATTTTTTCATATTTCTGATGTCCCTTTAACATTGTAGATAAAGGTTGTGTATAAAAATACAACTGTGATAGGGATTCTAATTATGCTGACAAATGAAGTAGGTGGCAGTGGTATTTCAAAAAAGGATTCAGAAAGTGTTACTGAATAAAGTCAAAGAATGATAAATCCAATTGTAGCACATAAAATAGTGAACAGACAAGTTTTTTTAGAAATAAATTGCAAAACATTTTTCTCATTTATCTCTTTAATTCCATTTCAACACATTAGAAGTCTGCTTATCATATGATTCATTTTTTTTATTGGTTTTTTAATTTTTATTTTTTAAAGTTGGGATTAATATTGATTGCATTTATGTTGTTTGCTTTAATACCTGTAATATTTTATCAACAAAGTAATATACAGGATTATTCAAAAGTCATGCCTCCATGAAAAATGAAGCATCATAAATCTTGTGCTCATTTATAAAATCAAAATTGTTTTGTTTAATTGTCTACAATGAAAAAAAAAGATTCAGAAAGATAAGAATTATTAAACCTTTGCATGTTACACACATTTAACATGATTTAAAAGTAAAAAAAGTTAAGTGATTTGTTCCTGTTGTTTTGTTGAACTTAAACTTGTAGTGCTGTGATGTGTTTTATATAAAAAATGCATTCACTGTACATATAAAACAGTATAATCTAAGTTTTTATAAATGTAAGATTATTATGAAAATGATGAATATGTAAAAATATACTAGGGAATAGTATCTTAGATACTGATATAGCAATTAAATATTGTGATAGAGATACTGAAATAGAGCAAATATAAAATAGGTACAAAATATGCAAAACAGTTTTGATCATTATACTTTTAAAAAAATGACCTTGTAAAAGTCAAAGACACTCATGAAAATCTTGTGTACTGTATGACGTGAAATTGGTTTGAGGAGACAATAATTTTGTACTTCTATCAAGATAATTTTCATGGATTTGGTGATGTTTAGGATATCACATATAGGTTAATTTTATATTAATAATCCTATTTTGCCACCTTTTGAATATTTGCATGTGTATTCTTTTCAGCATAAAGCTGTATATAACCTCAGACACTGGCAGTCTTCTCGGGAAGCCCAGGAAATGACTGAGGTAAGTATCTTAAGTTACAAGAATTTGCAGCATCAAACTACTCCGATTTTGTAGTTGAGAGAAAAAAATTGTATTTAAAGCTTTAAATATATATATATATATATGAGAAACATGAGGGATAAGGTAGCTGTAGTACAAAATAGCTACTATAAATTGCTACAACTTTGCAGGTGATTTCATTTACACACAATAAATTAACCCTTGTTGCTAGGCTCAAAGAAAACTATAATCCCTCAATCTAACAATAAAGGTAACGTGACCAACAATAATTTATAAATGTAATGAAGACAAACTAATGTTTTGTTGAAACATGTTACTATGTTCTCTATATAAAAAAAAATTTCAGTTATTATAAATTTTTGTTGATTAACATACTATTATATTAGCATGATGTGGTTCCATACACAGTAGTAACAAAGCATCAGACATAAATGAATAACAGAAAATACTTATTAATAGTATGGTACCTATTAAAATTTATGTTAAGTAACCTTTTAGCTGGTCAAACTCATTTCCATCCATTTAGGCTAATAATGGAGCACCAGAAGAAAACTAGAACATGTGGTAACTCCTACCCCACAATGAATTATATTTAGATGAAGAATCTTCAGAAACTTGTTTTGTGTAATATGTTGATTAGTACCTTTTTTCTCGGATAAAGTAGTTATGATTTTGGAATTTGTCTTAGTGGAAAGTTTTGAGAAAAGTATGTAGTAGGTATTATTTTCTTTTGTCAACTTTGAAAAGTTTTTCAACAAAAAATCTCTCTTTATTTTTTGAAATGTTATGAAATAACTTTGTTTTGTTTTCTTAGGATGATACTTTTAAGAAGCCAACTGTAGCTGAAGAGTTTGAAGATGAGGAAGAATTGTTAGAAACTACTTCACAGACAATATTTACAAGGCATGCGCAACAACCTACAAGACCATGGCACGATCCAGTGACTTCTGTTAAATGTCCAAGAAAAGTAAAAGAAGTAAGTTAAAATGTTCTTTTTGTTTAGTTGTTATTACAGAAATAAATTAGATTTATCAAGGAATGGCCACTTACTTATTACTTTTGTTGACTGGACAGGAGTTATCGAAAAGCTCTTGATATAGCTTCTAAGAACTGCCTTAGCTGTAAACAAATATTATAAGTGTTTTACAGAAAGGCTTCTTTTGCTGGTTGTATAAGACCAAATAAAAATTTTTTCCTGTTACATCAATGTTCAAAATAGGGTAGGTCAGTATGAAAAATATTTTATTTTATAAAAATGTGTTATCAAGCAACGAACCCACTAACCTTAGACGGTGATTATTTAAATTTAGATGTGATGTATTAGTATTTAAAGCTGCTGTTAACAACCCTATTAAAAATAAACTACACTAATACAGAGAGTCAGTATTTATTTATCAAATGAAAATATATATGAAATTAGCACATGAATCAAATGAAATGAGTGTATGTATCTCTTGTACATGCAATATAAATAATGAAGTGGTACATAAATGAAATAAAGTTACTTTTCTTTGTTACTATAATAAAATGATACTGATAACTTGAGATTGCACAACCTTTGAATATAAAAAAAGGTAACTTAGATGTTGAATTGATAAAATGAACTTTATCATTGAGTCTTTATAACCTTGCCATTTTTCTACCATATTGCACTTGGGAAGAAAGTGTCAGTATAGCAAACAGCCTCTCCATCACTTACTATAGCTTTTTATGCATAAGAAGCAGTGAACATACAGCAACTATAGAGGGCATGTGATGCAATACTCAACAACACATGCATCAGCCGTGAGGTGGAACTGACAATGACTTTCAGAGAGAATCTTTAGTGAAAATTTTCACACTTTTCATAAAATATTTATAGTTGTTTACTGCTTTATAAATCAGTGTATACACATTACTAAGATATTATATCTTGTTTTAAATTGTTTTTGGAATTTACATGGTTGGCTTTACAATGCTTTATATTGGAGGAGGTGAAATTCAAGAGCATCAACCACTCTTTCCAGTTTTGTGAGAAAAAATGGAAAAATTACACTTTTAAAAACATCCAGTAGGGCAGAGTAATGATTTTAGAGTATAACACTCTATAAACATGGATACTGACAATGCATTTACTCTAATTTGGTTTTAGAATTTTAAGAACATTTCAAATCCTGTCTTGTTATAACTGTTGGTTCTAGTCTTCATGGATTTCTTAAGGTTGGTCAGGTAACTGACCAACCTATACATAAATATATTTATTTGGCCTTAAATACATTTGTTACCTTAGTCGTATGGTGGTGTCTTCATGCCCAATTACAGGCAGATTGGCCCTGAATTATTTTATATAATTCTACCATATTACTTTGTAAAGAAAAAGCTAATAAAAAAAATTGAACTGGAAAACTGGTATTAGAAGTTCATTTTTCAATTCTAAAATGCTTTTTTGCTTAATAATCCTGAATGCAATTAAACGTTAACCCTTGAATTAGAGGGGTAGTCACTGATATTCCTTTATTTTTTCCCTTCTCACAGTGGAAATACAAAGTGCTTGAAATGTAGAAAAGCTTACTAAATAGTGTGTAATTTCTGGTTAAAAATGTATATAATTTGAGTTAGTTTTTTATCAGTTGTTGTGAGACACTTTTGGGAAAAAAATAAAAATGCTTCTTTTTGTCATAGCTTTTCAATTTTTTTTATTGTTAATCCGGAAGTTCCATTTATATACCTAGTCAACTTCAATTTGAATTGTATTCTTTTGAGGCTTTATTTTGTCAGTTGCAGTACTCACTACTTTGGGCTATAAATTGTTAAAAAAAAATTGACAAAGATTTTTCTGTAACCTAGAGTCTGGCCTTTCAAAATGGTATCAGGTTAAGCTAGGTAATAGTATTTTGCTAACAATATTTTTGGTGGAGAACAACATATATCTAATAAATATAGTTTCTTTTCAATAAGTAATAAATTACTTTACTTATTTACATTGTTATAATATGATAAACTCAACAATAATTTATTTAATAAATAAGGATTTGAGTCATTGAAATATTTTACCATTGACAGCTGTACTTATTAAATGTAACTAATATTACCTAGGGTCTTGTTTGTAGCTTTCAAACAAATATAATGTAACATGAAAATATTTTCAGGAACAAAATTAACATCTAAGAAAACTAAATAAGTAGCTTATAACCTGCTATATCCAATGGTATTTGACTCTTTCCATACTGGTCACAGGTGAAAGGCCATGTCATCTCGTTTGTTGACTTGCATTCAAAATTTTAATGAACTACTATTACATGAATTTATGTCAATAAGTTTAGTTTCAAACTGTAGATTATAATTCAAATTTTAGAACTATACCAGAATGTCCCCCTAGTGGTTTTTATAAGCATGTCTAATGTACCTAATGTCATTTTTTTCTTTTAAATCAAGATTTCAATGAGGTAGGTTGTGTCTTTAGTCTGCTCGAAATTTCATAATTTTTTTTAGACCCAAATACAGCTAAGTTACTACATTTGATAAATTATAGTAAAATTCTGGGGTATTGATGTAGTAATTTATGATTTTTTAGTTATTCAAAAGTATATATAAAACTTAAAAAAATACTTTGTTTCATGTCCTCCACGAGCAAAATTTTTAAGGCTTAGCAACCTACATCAAGAAGTAACCGAGTACAAAGGTCATAACTAGAAGGGATAATTGTTTGCTTTACTTTTTTATTTACTGTTCTATGTTTTAGGAAAAATAACTAAGAACTTATTTCAAAATAGCAATAACCTATATACATATAATGTATAATAATTGAAATGTGACTGTATTTTACAAAATACTAGTTGACTAAAACACAACCAATAGAAGTTACTTTGTAAAGACCAAAGGTCACCTTTATGTTATTTGATACGGTAACATGAGTGCACGTGAGCCACGTCGTTGTAACTTGTGTATTGTTAGCCAGGCATGGGTGAAAGGTCAATATAATAAATATATATACATAAATGTATAATGTTATGAAATTTAAGCTATTTTGTCTAAACAATTAGAATGAAAGATGCATAATTTATGTTTATTTCCTAATTTTTTATGGTGGTTGTGAGATCTGTCAAATTTATCGAACCTGTACAGAGGTTTAATTACTGAAAACAACAGATAAAATATGAAGTTTTTTTTTCCTAAGAAATGTTTGGACATAATAAAGATTTCACATGTGAAATTTTGAAATATTCTGATGTATCAAAGTATTTTTAATGTTAATATGAAAATTACTTTGCATGATAGATAGGCAACATTTGAAAAGAAAAAAAAAAGGCATGAGAGAATCATTGCTTTATAAACCTTAAGACTTGATAAAAAAAAATAAGATATTTTGTGTATGAAAGCATTGTAATGTTTACTAATAAGATGCCAAATTATGTTAACATTCACTTAATAATTTAAAAGTTGTAGCATGAAAACTATAACAAGCACAAAATGGTTACGAGGTCGGGTTGAAAGAGTTAAGCTTTGCCTGTAGCTATTTTCAAAGCTGAGCTTCATTTGTAATAGTTGAGATTATAGGCTGTGAGCCCATCTGTGGGATGGAAATAAAAGCCTATACTAATGAAACCAGTGAAAGAGAAGTAAAAATTACATGATGAACAAATGAATAATGATATTTTCAATGGATAATATCATCTTAGCAAATATACACCTATGCTTGGGATGGGCAGAAATATTATAAAAAAAATTGATAAGTGCATTGTGTACAAGTGTAACTATCTAGAGCTATGCAAAAAGGAAAGTGAAACTTAATTCATTTTCCTTTTGAAGTGCATTACATAGGGTAACAAAATGACACAATATCAGTTCAGAAATATTTTTGAGTTGAAAACTGTGAAATAATTAGTTATTATTTTAACTTAAATTTTGGAATTTGTTATCAGACTCGCGTTCAGTAGTGAAAAGTGCTCTGGGGTTCAAACCCAATGGCTCATATCATATCTTTATAACATGGGACAAACTTTGTTGAATATAATATCATGGGAAGAAATATATTTCAGTATCCTTGAATAAGATTACAACAGTTGTAAGCATTTTCAAAACTATTTGTTAAAATTTGCAAAAGATTCATATGAGACTCAGAAATCAAATTTTGTTTATTGTAAATTTAAGATTTTCAGAAAAAATTACTCTTCATTTTTTGGGAATGGTGTCTTGTTAAATCTTCAGTCCATTTTTTTTTCTTTGAGTATTTAAAACGTTTTCATAATTAATATAACTTGTTACTTTGTTTGCTTTGTTATAGTGGACACCTTATTCTGAAAGAGTTATTAAATTTTAATATTATTTAACCCTATGTGGATGTATTGGCTTTTTTGCTGATGTCACAATGTTTTACATAGTTACTTCCAAAATCTGACATAAGTTTATTATTAATGTATGTCAATACAGTTAACATCAGAATGTAGTATATAATTAATTTTACATTGTATAGTTTTTGTATCTTAATTTCAAAAGCATATATTTAAAGCTTCTCAATCTCCACCTTTGTTTTCAAGTGACTTGTAAGCACTCAGTGTACTTCTTTTACTTAGTATAATTCCAAAGTCCCATGCTATTAGTGTGAACTTCCTAACATCTCCATTAACTGAAATATAAATTGATTTTATCACCTCATGGCACAGTTTTAATATCATATACATTTTAGGGTTCCTAATTTTATAAGGAAATATTTAAAAAATATCCTCAATCTTGCCTGTTACGAGAATTGTGACATTTGCTCTCTGGGTCTCCCCTTTAATTTATTTACCTACTCTCTGAGATTCAAAGAATTAAATGTAAATTACTCATTACAATACAGATATTTCTAAGGTAAAGTCTAATTTTTATAGCCTTCAATCTTGTTTTTTATAGTGCCATAAACTAGAAAATCAGATCCACTTAACATACCCACCTGTCACATTCCCTCTTTCACAAATTACCAGTAGCTCTCTCTGATGTTTAATACTATATTATTTATAACCAATAGAAAGCCAGAGTTTCAGTCTTTCAAAAAATATATTATACTACATTGTTTTGCTTCCAGTTTGATACTTTATTCACGTGGGAAACACAATGACAAGTTAGCTGAATTTTTAATGGCTCTTATCTTATAGTTAGAAAGCCAGAAAAACTGTGACAGTTATGGGACATTGTTTGTTTTTTATGCATTATTATTATTCATTGTTCTCAGGTGCATTATTTAATTAAATAAAAAATTATTTAGTATAGCAGAACCATTAGTATACAAAAGTAGGATCAAGTTTTATGCACAGTCAATAGCAAGAAAAAAAAGACTCAGATAAGTGCTATATTTCTTGTTTTTCATGTATGATCTTTATTTATTATTATAAAAATAAAATCTAAAAATTATAAACTTAAGGTTAGATTATATAAGATAATGAAAAATAAAAATCTTCACAAGGTATGCTTGCAAGTAGCTTGTGAATTACGTAATTCGATACAGTAAGGTGAGCTTCATGTTTGCCGAGTGATTTACATCTTATGTTCAAATTCGATGACAAGGAACCCACTTTGAGACTAATAATGCTTGGAGACAGCTTGAATGGGTAATGAAGAAAAACTTTAATATAAGTTCAACATAACAGCAAATATACAACGTTTGGACAAGGTTTTGTCATCATCAGGTACAAGTAACTGACACAGATATATATACAGTATTGAACAAAGAGGTTACATGACTGGATACTGTTGCAAAACTTAGAAGAGGAGTCTTGGCACCCCAGGGTGTTGGTTTAGAGTA